CGAGGGCTACAAGAAACAAAGTGAGTAGCCTACAAGATTGAAGCTGGTCAGATAACGAACGAGTAAATGAAAACAGAATGAGGCGGAGAAGTGTGTGTGTTTAATTGAATAGTAAAGGGGTTTAACGTTAGTGGCAGGTTGTGTGAGAGAGAATAAATAAAACAGCCCAATATTTAAAAAAATTGTTATTATTTTTCCCGCATATTTCGCAACTTTCCGCATATTTCGCAACTTCCCGCAATTTCACCGCATAAAATCACGTAAAAACCCCGCATGTTAAATCGCATAATCAAGGATTTTAGCCCGCATAATCAAGGATTTTTGCCCGCGTTTTACTGGAGGGTCTAGTTATAGCTCCAATAAATCTCTCCTCCTGATTGGTGGAGTTGGCCCAATAGCTGTAGCGCCACCGTCCTGACGTCAGAAAAGTGTTCAAATCTGGATCAGTCTGTATCAGATCCGTTGCAGCCCCTTTTTAAGAGATTTGGGTATGGAGGAAAATAGAGAGGGTTGTGTTTTCTGACTCTAGGTGAGTTCCCTGACACACCGGGGACACATATTCATGTACAAAAGTGCATTTTGCATGATAGGTCCCCTTTAAATTAACTGTTAATATTCTAGGTACATCATATTCTGGAATTTACTCTTTACTGTTAAAATTAAGATTGTTTTTACAAAGTTGCTAATGTACGATTTTTTATTTAAATCATTCATTGCAATTCAGTAAATGTAGCCTACCTCAATGTATTTATTTAGACGTTTTGTTTAACAAAGTAAGGATAGAAATTTTTAAGTCAAACCTAAAGTTTCTTTTTACATAGCGATGAACCACAGCTCTTTATTTTTGGTAATGGATCATACCCTGTATTGCCTGACACCCAAAATCCAGGTATCGATATAGCAGTGTTTGTGTGCGCAAAAAAAACAAAAACGTGTGAGTTTTAACAACATGTTTATTTATTGACTTTTCATTCCTGTATAATCATTTTGCACAAAGATGGCACTGTTTGTCAGAGCACTTCATCCTTCTGGGTTTCATGAAGAACAGCTCCAACACCTGTGTGTATGGGAATGCCTCTGGTGCTGGTCCATTAACTAATAGGGAATGAAAAAGTGGGACCCCTAATCCATTTGATTGGCAGCCCCCCATCAAAAAGGGGTGGCAGGTCAGGTGTGTTTTGGATTTTAATTTTAAATATGTATTTATTTTATTCCAATATCTTGTTTGGTGACTGATCACACTGTTTCTGCATTCATGTGGGCTCTTATAGTCAAATTATAAAAAAAAAAAAATAAAGATCACAAGATTTACTTCTCCGAATTTATTCAAATGACATCCAGCACCAGCTTTGTGCGTTCCAGCAGTGAAATACAGAATATATCAATGGTAAGTATTTTATTCTGAGACTAACAAATAAAACATCCCCACTGAATAAAAATTGGCAAAACCGTCAAGTTTTCTTTGAAGAGGGTCATCATTCAGGACTGTACAGATATTCACTTAGAGCTTGTTTATATATACAGCACTGTGTTCTTTTCACAGTGAAGAATATACAATGTAGCATCAACCCACAGAAAACACACCAAACGTTACAATTGTGTGCGTGTGTGCATTTGTGTGTGTGTGTGTGTGTGTGTAGATCTGGATTTAGTGCGTCTCAAAGTTAACCACCTTTTAGCTCCATCTTCCAAAATTCCCATCCTTTTTTAAAAATGACTGTTACAGACCGCTTGCTGCACTTCCTGTTGTCTTTATGACATTCAAACCAAATAAAAATAAAAGCGTGAAACATACACACACACACAAATCATAAACACAATCGTAATTTTTTGGGGGTAAATATTCTCGCTGGTTGGACTTGTAACACTTCCCTTTGTAAAACATTTACAATGTTTTAGTGACATTGGACCAGTCTCTATTCTAGGATAAATTATACCTAATTCTGGTCTCTCGTGAGACAGGGCCTCAATAAATACATGTGAGTGAGACAGAGCGAGGGGAGAGAAAGACCGAAAGACAGACAGAGAGACAGACAGGTAAACGGAGTGAGTTCTGCTTCCTCCCCTTTAGGGTAACTCGGAGTGACCTGTTGGCAGGCCGGCCAATCACAGGAGGAAACAGACCGGTTCAGACCAATCGGATCACTTCAGTGAGAGGCTATGCCTGTTGTTGCAGTTTAGCGGCAGTACAGTCCAATCACAACAGCATTGTGACCGGTTTCTCCAGGAACTTGCGGAACTCCGCGAGCCACTGCGCTCCGACGGCGCCGTCCACCACCCGGTGGTCGCAGCTCAGCGTCACCGACATCATGCTGGCCACGTCAAACCTGTGAAGACAAACGCACGCTCCATCAGGTTCAATCTAAAAAAAATGCAGTATGTGAAAAGCTTTTGTTGTATGGTAGTCATGATACTGACCCTTTCTCATTATCAGCAGGCATCAGCCGTTTCTCTGAGCCCCCGACGGCCAGGATACAGGACTGAGGGGGGTTGATGATGGCAGAGAAGTTCTTGACGCCAAACATCCCTAAATTAGAGATCGTGAAGGTACCTCCCTGGGGGAACAAAACACACATGAAGAAGACTGAAATCTGCACCAAAACTGATCGGCTAACAGAATGGGTCTAATCTTTGTACCTGGAACTCGTGCGGCTGCAGTTTTCCGTCCCTGGCTTTGGCAGCGAGCGCAGACACGTCGGAGCTGATGCCAACGAGCCCTTTGGTGTGAGCGTTGAACACGATGGGCGTGATGAGACCGTTAGCTGTGCTCACTGCTACACTCACGTCCACCACATGGTTCCTGGAAACATTTGAAATAAGTCAATACTGCTGACAGCCCAGAAATGTGGTCTATGTCTAAACTGAGAGGAGTTGAAGGAAAGTTTTGAGCGCCCCCTGCTGGTACGATAGTTCAACTACGCTTTAAGATACTAATATATAACAGGGTAGGAGTTTTAGTAGAATCAAAACATGCTAATGGTCTTCTTTTTACTGGTGGTGTGTTTATCACTTTCTTTATATGACCTAGTGAACCATGTCAACAACGAGTTTAAAGTCACTTGAACCATAAGTGCTTAAGGATATTAGTGCAAGAATTACAATTGAGATGTTGATGTTCTTATACCTGAGAAAATATGAAGAAGATAGGTTGACAAGATCTGAAGACTTTAGCTGTAGGAGTAGGAGGATAATGTAAGAATATTCCTTTGCTGTTTTTCAAAACGTTACTTAAATGAAAGTACAAAAGCATTAGAATCACACGTCAGTGGTAGAAAAAGTATTCATATCCTTTACTTTAGTAGAAGTACACACTGAAAAATACTCCACGACAAGTGAAAACCCAACTTTTCACAAAATATTCTAACAGCCATGTTTTTATCTTTTTGTAGATTTTCAATACAATTTCATCTTAATACAATTAGTCCTTCAATATCTCAGACACATTTACTGAACAGGAAGAGTATGAAAAGCTGTAATCTGTTACATTGCAACAAGTATGGTTGGCAAGTTTGTGTACTATGACCATGTTCTAGCTGGAAGCCAAAGAGACATATACATACACAACATATTGTCTGTTCCCTGTATATCTTACATGTGTGTGGATACATGTGTTGTTTGTGTTTACTCACTGCCTGATGACCGTGTCCAACCAGGAGGAGTTGCACTCAGGAACCTTGAGGCAGGCCAGAGCGCTGGCTTTGATGATGAAGTCGTTCACACTGAGCTTGATATTCTGCGCTTTCACCTCCTGCAGAGAAAGACAGGTTGTTTAAGCGACACAGGAAACATGTCATATTTATTTGAGTCTTTTTGTCAAACAGCTATCCGAACTCACAGCATTGAGTTCTTGCCGAAGCTCGATCACTTGGTCCATGTTGACGTCTACAGACAGATAATAATGGGGGATGGTTTGTTTGGACTGCATCAACCTCTGAGCGATGACCTGCAGGAGAGACAGACATATGAACTTCAGCTTTGATCCTGAACTCATCGTGGACAGGAATAAGGTGAGTCAGTTGAACCTGTGTTTATAAACATACAAGTGTCTGTCTGTAGCTGTTACTAACGCTCACATTATATCCGTTAATCTGCAGTTTATTTGATAGAATTAATCGATTGTTTTTTCTGTTGATAAATTAATCTTTTGGTTGACTTCACACGACCTCATGGAACACAGGAGAGCACCAAGAGCCCCTCACCTTGCGGATGTTGCTGATGGGGACGTCTGTGAAGGTCCCAGCTGCAGCAGCAGGAGGCGCAGCAGCAGCAGCTGGAGCTGGAGCAGCTGGAGCGGGGGCCGCAGCTACAGCCTGCCACCGGGAGGGATTTAACTTGCATTTAAAACTAAATTACATCAAAACCTTGAGAAACATACGGTACCAACACGTTGAGAGGGTTCAAAGTACAGTCAAATATATAAATATGATTAATTAGCCAGCAATTTGAACACCTTCTAAGCTAATTATGATGTAACAATCTGTACACAAAAAAATACATATGCCAAATGAAATCAAAACTTTTGATACGTCTGAAGTAAGCGGAAATGTCTTTTTATAAATTCCTCACGATTGTTGAATATCTAATTTCAAACAATCTTAGCACCAAATAAATTCAGCACAATTTTGCTAACATTCTTAAATTGAAATCCCTAAAAAAATCCAACTATGGAAATTGAAGTCGTTACATATAATAACAAAGGATTAAATGTGCATTGCTTTTACTCACAGGTGCTGCCTTTGGTGGAACAAAGCTGTCGATATCTTTCCTGGTGATGCGCCCGTCAGGACCGGAGCCTGAACAGAAACAGTGAATACAAGATTTGACCATTGCTCTCTCTTTGTATTTAAATACGTAACGCTCTACCAATACAGATCTGAGAAGCTACCTGCATGTTGTTCACTTACCGCTGACCTGTGCCAGATCAATCCCTTTGTCAGCGGCGAGCTTCTTGGCGAGCGGGCTGGCGAACATACGACCCTTCCTCGGGGCTGCGGGGGGGGCAGCGGCGGCTGGAGCAGGACTGGGAGCTGCTGGAGCTGCAGCCTGGAACAGAAACATTACCGTTCAAACATCACAATCATCCCTGTACAAGTTCTATTCATCTAAATAAAGGACACTCAGGTTTTTTCTGTGTAAACGTTTTGCTTATATTTGAAAGTGAGAGCTGAGTCTCACCGGTGCCGGAGCTGGAGGTGGAGCAGCAACATCTGTCACTCCGGTCTCTACATAATCCTTGAAGGCAGCGATATCACTTTCTCTCTCCACAATGATGCAGAGTGGCACTCCCAGGGGAACGTCCCGGGTTCCCTCTGGCACCATGATTTTAGCCAAATATCCCTCCTCCTGCACCTCGAAGCCTACACACACACACAGACACACACACACACACACACACACACACACACACACACACACACACACACACCTTGTAAAATGCCACCCACAGGTTTTAATGGCTGCAGTACTGCACGGGGAAAGAGGGTTAGAGGATCTGGTTTATATTTTGTCGTGTATCAAGTATTTCAGAATTAAAATACTAGATTTATCCTAGGGGAAATTAGGGTTTTGCAACACTTGCTCCATTTTAGAATTAAATATTTCAAAGTGTCTTCCTGTACTGTATGTGTTTCAAAAGGTCTGCAAACAGAAATGAGTCAAATCCATTCTGCACCTTTATCCTTATTGACCTGCTGTGAGGTGTTTGACTTTCAGCATTCACAACAAACATCAGCACCTTCAGAGCCGCCGGGCACATAGAGGCTGCAGTGTGCTGTACTCACAGTTGAAGTCGGGGCTGATGGACTTCTCGGCCAGGAGGCTGTTGACGGTAATCTGATAGATGATGTGAAGCAGCACGAAAGACATGCTGGTGAAGCAGAGGGACTGCAGCAGACGCCCTGTGTGGCCTGCAGAGGAGGAGAGGAGGAGGAGGAGAGGAGGAGAGGAGATACAGTGAGTTCACCAATAACAACACTCACTTTAAGGATTTCCACATGTCAGTTCTGCCGCTCATGCACGGCAACCCAGAAAAACCTCTCTTTGCTGAGTATCTGTTTCTCTCTAGACACAGAGAGCGGACTGCAGATTTAATATTTTTGGAGTGGTGCAACATTAAAGGTGGGGTAGGTAATTTTGAGAAACCGGCTCGAGATACACTTTTTGTTATATTCCATGGAATGCTCTTCACATCCCGATAGCAATGAATATTAAATGAATAAATACATAAAAACATTTCATCTGTGGAAGCCGTAGTACTGTAAAAAGCACGGCCAATCATCTGAGCCGGCCCGGCTAAAGTAACTGGATGGCCTACCTGCCTGTCAGCCTTCCATCTGTGCACAAACTTATCTCGTGCCCTCATTGGTCATGTGCGCGTTCGTGTGTGTTGGAGGAGGGGCTCTTTAAGGAAGTGGCAGATTTGTTCCGGCTGTGTATTTTCAAATTCTAGCGCACTCGAGCTGGTTTCTCCAAAATGACCTACCCCACCTTTAAGAAGCGCCTTTTTTATATATTGTAGAGTGATGAAGCCTGGAGTTGATTTGAAGGTGGAGGTGACTGGGAGAGGATTTTCAGTTGGCTGACATGTTATCCAAGGCGACTTACAATAAGTGCAAAAACCATAAAGATTCAAAGTTCGCACAACAAAGAAAGTGCAGATATATTTGCTTCAACCAAGTCATACCGTTCTAAGTGCTGGTGAATCAGTTCCATGGCCTAAGTTCACTTTTTAATTAAATTGTCCTGGTTAAAAGCTGTGAAAACGACTATAAAGCAAAGGTTATTTCAAATAAACCTCCTTGAGGACGACAAAACCTCTTATTCTCTTATTCATCATAGGAGTAATAGGAGTATTCGCACATTTTATTCTTTAGCTATGGTGGGGTTTTGTGTTAGCGGGAAATGACCAGAAGAGCGACAGACACTGTACGGCGGAGTAACTGACCCTGGGTCTGTGTTTAATGTAGGTAAAGAATACAGCTTTCAGAGGACATCAGGATCCTGGGAGCGAGAGTACGCAGGGCGAGGAGCTGCCACACATGTGCAACAGATGCTTATTTTATAGAGCACCTACAGGTATTTGGGATAATTTCAGTAGTTGTTATGGCGATAATTCTCTATGGTAGGATTCATCAGACCCCCCCTTTTGTTTGGGTAGATTCCGTTTTCATCCTCAGGGTAGAAACAAACTTTATGGGACTTCTCTACTTTGATGAGGAAATGAAAGGATGTTCCTTATAAGCCTTAAGAATATTTTGGACTGCATATCTGCACAGTTTGGTCTTTTCCTTCTCCAGGGCAACATCTCCATCTCATTACATTTACTGCATCTTTGCGGGGAGTACGGTTTTACTGTAGTGTGTTGCACAATATCCTGGCTAAGGGGAAGCCCTTCTGCTTAGCCTTGAGCCATCGAGGGCTAACCTTATCAAATGTGTGCAGCAACAGACCATTGAAATAGGGCTGCTCAATTAATCGTATTTTAATCGCAATTACGATTATGGCTTGCAACGATTACGAAAACAACGTAATCGAAATAAAACGATTATTTTTGTATTGGTTTTTCAGTTGAAGTATGCTTAAAGTTCAGGGTAATCAACTGTTCAAAACACACTGTTCACATTTTTTTTCTCCAATAAATTGATGTCTTCAAAGTAAATGGATAATCGTTTTTAATAATCGTGATATCAATTATTGACCCAAATAATCGAGATTATGATTTTTGCCATAATCGAGCAGCCCTACATTGCATGCAAATTAAATGTTGAAGTGAAAACAATTTGTGCTAATTTCCCATTGTTACAGTAACTCCCCGGGCTTTCACAAAGAGGGAAGGGAAGGCTTGTAAATTCGGAGGTACGAGGACTTAGCGAGCTTCTCCGTCCAAATTGGTCCGAAGTCTCTGGACAAAACAAAAGCTTTGGCTCTGCTTCCTGTTTTTTCCTATTTGTAAAACAGCATTTTTGCTGTGTGACAGCCACCGTCTTGGTTGCCCAACGGTCCTCGAGCTTCATGATTCAGTCTCAAAACGCCGTCCCACGAGTCCTTTTTACAGGCGTCCAAAACAGAGGGCATTATTCAGCTTGGACCAACATTGGGACCTGATTTAATCACATGCTGTTGCCAATTCATACGTCGGGGAGGGCCAATTAAATGTTTTTACTTTGCCAGCAGGGATGGATGTAAAAAATTAAATAAAATCAAACACTGTACACAACTATAAGGGACCATTGTTATGCTACTGTATCCTCACTCCACTACAATAAGTACTTTTTCTGCTACTCCAGCTTTAGTGATAAGTTACTTTTACAGGAACAAAATATTACTAAACACAAATCACAAACACATTATGTATAACTACTACTATTATATGGTGTAAAGTATACTTTTCTGTAACAGGGCATTTTGCCATAATTACTCATTTTACTCTTGGTTACCTTTAGGTATGTTTTTTTAAGTATCTTTATTGAGAGAAACAGTGGTAAAGGTCGGACACTGCATATGCTAAAAACTGAGCTATCGTGCAGCCCACCTTACATTTTGATGAGAATACTTATGTCTTCTTACTTTAAGTATTTCCACATTGTGGTACTGCTAACTTTACTAGCTTGTGTTCAGAGTACTTTTGGCACGGATATCATTCAGACAAAAAAAGGTAGAAAGTTGTGTCTTCAAAAAGGTGTCATAAAAATAGATTTAAGGAAAAGCAAAACGAAGTGATGCGTTTAATCCAGACACCCTCTGTTAGAAGTCTACTAGCTTAAACATAAACCTGATCAATCATCCGTAACATCAAATATTTATATAAATTCATGCAACAAGACTAAAAGACTCCCCAAAGGGAAATTGTAATCGTGGTGCCTTTTGAACCAGGCATATAGCACCTAGTGTAAAGGCTCTTTAAACGGCCACTGCCCATATGAGAGCAGCCGTTTGTTCACCTCCACTGAGAGTTGGATGCCTTCAAGGGGATGTGGAGCCAAAACCTCGTATCATGACATTAGAGAGTACATCCCAAACAACAGCAGCCAGTGGCACAAGAGACTTTCTGTCTTGTGAGGATTGGAGTCTTGTTTACTGACATATCCTTGGGCACAGCGCACTGTTGTGGCTTTTGAAAGCAAACTTCATCTGATGAATTATTCATGTCATACATTTGGTTTAACTTAACTTTAAATCACAACAGAAAAAGTGAAACAGACCATCAAAATAAAGAACATAGCAAACATATCTCTCTCTAAAACAATTCAAGTGTGTCTCTTTTCGGCACAATGAGATCTGGGTCAAATCTGTGTTTTTGTGAGTTTATTGTGAGTGTGTATTGATGGTGGTTTTTGTACATTAATTAAGTGAACAATTACTGTACAGTAACTCTCAAATTCTCATGATCTACTGAAGATTATAACCACTAAATAGCCCAATTAAAACCACAGTGTAGTAATGACTTTAAACCTACTTTTTATCCTAGATGTATACAGTCCTGTCGTTAAACAGACAGTTGATAATGAAACAGAATGATAAATGTTGGCAAAGCAATGACAATCATCCTCAACCACATCCAGTTGTTACTTCTAAATTCTATACACTGGTGTGGCAGCTAGATTAAATCCCTTTTTCATTCAAGAATATAACAAATATGTATCCAATACAATTATAGTTTCCAATCATTTCATATTCAGTCAAAAGTAATCCTGTGAATAAGACCTTTCTCATTGAAACGTCCTCACACAAAAACAGCTTTGATGAGATGTTATTGGTTCTTTTACAATACTTATTATTATTTCATTATTAAAATAATCAATTTAACTTTTGGTAACTTTGTTTAATTGTAAATACTGAATCTTGGATAATAATATTAAAGGTGGGTTAGGTAAGTTTGAGAAACCGGCTCGAGATACACTTTTTGTTATATTCCATGGAATGCTCTTAACATCCCGATAGCAATGAATATCTGAAGTGCTTTGACAAAAAATCCATAAAAAAATGTCATCTGTGGAAGCCGTAGTACTGTAAAAAGCACGACCAATCATCTGAGCCGGCCCGGCTAAAATAACTGGATGGCCTACCTGCCTGTCAGCCTTCGATCTGTGCACAAACTTATCTTGTGCCCTCATTGGTCATGTGCGCGTTTGTGTGACGTGCAATCACCGGTAATTGCACTTTAACACAGGGATATCTCCTCTTGCACTTTATATGTCCTTGCTGCTATATTGTATTACCATGTCATAAATACTTGTGTGTTCTGCTCTTGCTCTTTTGCATATCACGTATTTTGTTTTTGCTATGTTTGTAAAATGTAATTTTCTTAAATGTTTTATGTGAGGGACTGTGGATGGAAATTAGCTCAAAGCTAAATCTGGCACTGTTACGCTTGATACATTTGAATGTTTTAAAGGTCCCATGTCATGCTTTTCCAGTTATTACCCGTCCCCTTGTGTGTTATGAAGGTTTTTATGCATGTAAACGGTCTGCAGAGTCAAAACCCTCAAAGTACACCCTGTAGCGAGTAAAACTCAACACAGAAAAGACCTCCCCAAAACGCCTCGTTGGAGATACGTCACTGCCCATTGATTCTTCCGGGTAACTCATGATGTCATGCGTTAAGTCCGCGGAGCCGTTACGTTAAGCCCCCGCTGATTGGTCCAAATTGACCAATCCACGGCTTCCTCACACACACACTCAGTGCAGTCAGCTCTGCTGATCTCTCCTCCCTGGCTTTAGGCTGATAACAGACAGTTGGGATTGCGGCAAAATTCTCTCTGCAGACCCATTCTCACAGCGTTTATCAAACTTTTTCTTACTGAATATCAAGCCACACATATTGTTTTTACTTTGGCTGTGACTTCGTGTGTGCTCAGGATGAGTTTGGCTGTGTTTCGCTGTGTATCGCTAAACAAGGAAACCACACCTCCACGGAGCTCAGCGCGATTCACAACGTCCCAACCAATCAGAGCACACTGTGCTCACAGGGAGGGTGGGGGCTGGAGCTATTGGAGCTACAACGAGCCCTTAAAGGCAGAGAGTGAAATTCAGTGAATACACGTAGTTTACAGAGATGCTGTATGAGAAACCAATGTGAGTTTGGAAAATTGCACAATATAAATCTTTTCTAGTAGACCTCAACAATGGAATTATGATCAGTGGAAATGGCCATGAAATGGGACCTTTAGGTGTTCATTACTGTGCATTGTCCCTGCCAAATAAACGATTAAATGAAAATGAAAAGTGTATTTTCAAATTCTAGCGCACTCGAGCTGGTTTCTCCAAAATTACCTACCCCACCTTTAACTTTAACAGACACTTGATTTATTGTTAAGCAGTCTGTTTTTTCAAAAGGTATGTGAGTCTGGTGCCTTCTTGGAGATTTCAATTAATTTAATTTAATTCATTTTTTCATGACATATTGAAAATGTTGTTTGCATACCAAACCATTTTAACATGGTAAAATATAGACATGTAGAGCTGTCCATGGCCAAGCCCCAGCCTACATTAATAACCCGATCCACTCTTATAGCACAGCCCGGGCCCTAAGGTCCTCTGAGCAAGGCCTCCTAAGGGTGCCCCGAACCAGGCTAAAAACCAAGGGTGACCATGCCTTTGAGGCGGTGGCCCCAAGGCTCTGGAACAAACTACCACAGAAAATAAAAACCTCTCCCTCAATAGAGATTCTTTAAGGGGCAGTTAAAGACCCACCTCTTCCGACAGGCCTTTGGGTCGTCGGAGGAGGTGAGTTAGTAGCTGTCTTTTATTGGTGTTTTATCGTATGTTTTATCCTATGTATTACCTGCTGCTGTTTTATTCTACATTTTATAGTTGTACTGTGAATTGTGTACTGTACTGTAAAGCACTTTGTACATCCGTGTTGAGAAGGGTGCTATGTAAATAAAGTTGTACTTACTTACTTAACGTGGTGTCAAAAATAAAGGTAAATATAGATTAGTAAAATCTACCCATGAAGCAAAACCTCATGGTGCAATTGTATACTTTTAACTACTTAAATCTAAATAGTCAGTGGATGAACTTGTTTTTTAAATATTAAGTCTTACAACCCAGCTGCCTTAGTTCATTGCAGTCAGAGTGTTGTTGGTGTTGAAGTATCTCAAAGCACAACACTGCATTATCTTAAATGGAGAGACCGGACACTTAGGTTTTACACTAATGACTAACCACTAAAGGTTGACCCACGTTTGAAGTCAACAGCTATCAGACACACATGAATGCTTGAGCTTTACTCGAAGACTTCTCTCTTTAACTATTGATGAGAGTGTAAGTGGTCCACTTTCTCCTCTTCCTCCTTTACTTCCTGACTGTTATTTCAGCCGGAGAGACGAGCACAGACGGCTCTTCGGACTGGATGTTGTTCCCTCCGTCAATATAGGTTTATGTATAATTAAACACTGCATGTGGTGTCCTACAGAAACCCACATTATGTGAGTGGAATGAATAAAGGCGACCGCAATCCCACATCCATCACCCGTAAGGAGAACAGTCACCTCGCTCTCATAAACCTCAGCCTGTGATTTACAGTATATTTCTTTAGAGGACAAGGCCCCGCTGAAGAGTCGTGGAAGATCGTTCGCCTGCTTTAAAGATGGTTTCCATTTTTACTGAACTCATATCTAAATACCATTGTCTGAATTAACTAATACCATTTGTCAAAAGCAGGCAGACCATGCTGTTGTGAAATAAACCCACTTAAGGAATCAGTGAAGCCTTAGGAGCAACTTTTATATCCCTGTGTATAAATATACACAGGGATATAATAAAAGCGGTCAGCCATTATCAAAAACAGACTTCATCTCAACTTTCTTTTCTCTTCTGGGTCTTTTTCTCCAACAGCATAGTTTGTTTGTTTAGTATGTTATCATTTTGATGGACATTATCTGTCAAAATAAACCAACTCCAAGCCTAAAATGTTAATCATCATCTAATGGACGTTAGATCTGACCCTGATGGATCACGTCTTCCTATCTCAGATCTTGCTGGCTTGTGGATCATTTTATATTTTTACAGATGGACTCCTTCCCGCACTAACCGATATTACCTTTCATGGGCTGAACTATGCGCCAAATCTATCCTCATCTCAAAGAAAATTCAAGTCCCCTCGAGAAGGGCTGGTTCACATTACAGAGAACAATAACGCAAGTCAAACTGGAGGCTTTTTGGGAAACAGACAAGCGTCTCCAGGCGATGGACGAAGCCCAAGCCGCCATCGATGTGTCAAAGTATCAAAGAGAGTTGAACTGAATAGCTCACCTTGCATTGTTGTGCTTGTGGGCTCCGCGAAGAGTGGGATAAGAAGGAGATAGATGAGGTAGACGAAGGACAGGCCATTGTACCTGAACAGGCAAGCTGCAGGAACAAAGGGACACAAAGATACAGATTAAACAGCAAATCCATTTAACGTCCACAAACTCTACCGTGTCATGAATGCTTTGCGTGCATACCGTAAAGTTTAACAGTAAATAAACTCCAGAAGCTGGCAGAGGTGTAACAAGCTGCCTGATCAGGAGTCGTCATTGAAAATCAACTTAACACAGATTTAAGAGAAACATGTGGTGAAGCGTATTAAAATGTTCCTGGTGTAGAAAAGCTGCTTGCGGCCATTAAAGCCAGATCGTTCCTTTAACACTTTCTCACCAGCCTCCGAATCTGTTCATCTGGTCTGCATCACAAAATGAGGATCAATAATCACCCTTGGGTGTTACGATGGATAATTAACTAAATGAGCCTCTCTCTGCTCTTTAGTGCTGCAGCTTTATATATCATATGGGAAGATTTTATTTAGCAAGAATCTCATAGTACCAAATGGACTGTGAGCATTATTGAAACTGGATGCTTTATTACCAAATCAGCAAGAACAAGATGACTAAACGTTTTGTAACAGAGTGGCTTCAGGCACCAGATGTTTAATACACACGTTGGACCTCTGAGTTTGGAAAACAGGAAACAACTTGTAGTTGCCAAAGTATAAAAAGGAAACACATCCACATGCAGCGTGAAGAGTTTGAAATGTGACGACCAGTGTCTGAAAATAATTATGTACTTGGTATGAGTATTTTAGATCAAGACCTACATAGAGATTTGATGTTGATTCATTTAAACTTTTACTTATTTTTCCCTGGAACTTTTGTTCACTTTAATTTATGTCATCGATGATTGTTGATTTAATAAAGTCACTCAAATAAACAGTTACCTCAGTGCTTAAGTCACTCCTTGATTCAAATGACGACATAGCATTATTGTTTCCTTAAAAACTGAAACAATTCGAAAATCAATCAAATAATTATATAAGAAACTGTTTGGATATTTGTTGCAAAACATGTTGTGCTTCTCCAATGGAAGGATTTGCCAATTTTTCTCAACTTTATTTAACTGTAAACTGCATATCTTTGGGTTGATCTAATCTATAATGAACAAAGCTTGTTGATTTAATGCATTGTTTCAGTATTTAGGGTTGTGTCCCTCCACATGACATTTTATTACGTAACTCCACACACTCACCCTTTCCCGAAAACACACACACACACACACTCACCCTTTCCCGAAAACACACACACACTCACCCTTTCCCAAACCCAAACACACACTCACCCTTTCACACACACTCACCCTTTCTCACACACACACACACACACACACACACACACACACACACACACACACACACACACACACACACACACACACACACACACACGTCTTTTAAGCACATGATGAAAGTTTTAACACATAAGTGCAAACATGACTTCAAAAAACATTAATTGACGTATTGATCCTTAACACACCTCATTTCCCAGAGAGTGACCATCTGCTCTTTTACCAGTTAAACGGCTCACACAACCCGCTGACTGAACATCAATTAACGCGTCTAAAATGAACCACATTGTACTAAACACTTACCCATTTCCCCGCTGAAGCCTATGCAGAAAGCACAGCCTGAGGTTTTTTTTTTAACAACCGGAGATGTAAAATCATTAAATATTTCACATTTACAACCTTGAGAATTTTAGGTTTTCAGAATCCTACAGAAAAAATGTTATAAGTCCCTTCCTGTCTGACATTACTTTGAACATTTTTAGGTCAGGAGGTATCCAGGGAATGGAGGGAAGTACACAGTAACCTTGTAGAAAATGCGGGCACACATTTTGACCTCACAAATTTCTCTAAGCGGTTAAATCAACAAGCACAAAGTTTACAACCAGGTCGGCTGCGTGAGTTACCGTCACAGTCGCAGAGATCAGCCCGTCTGGGCTGCTACTTGTCTTGATCTACTGAAAAATTACACTTAACTGTTGAAAATTGAGCTTTTATTTATCTTTGCACACTCAATGGAGCTATTCATTGACATTTGACTTGGCTCCGACTTCTCCCTAGCTGGAGCTCTACGGTAAGTGAACCTTCAGGTTTTCTCTGTGCTCTGATACGGACCAATGAAAACTAACAAAAGTCAATAAATGTTATGGAGGACTATCATCTTTGAGAAAAAAACACTTACATATGATGTGATTAGGTTTCAAGTATGCACGAATGCTTGATATGCATGATGGTCCAATCGTCAATATAACACCATAATAAAACACTATCATATCATACTTTATCATTATCTTTAGTTGTTTTCTTTTCAAACATATTAGACGGGGAACTTTTACAACCTAAGTTTCTAGTGGGAATGATTCAGAATCTTTACTTTTTGGACGAACTTACTGCAACATTTCTTTCCACACCCACTTAATTTTATCTTCGTTAAATGTAGCATTAAATTAGCTCCAAACCTGCCCAAGTTGGTAGCCCAGAGCCTGCTGCCAACATTATTCATCTGTTCGTAGTTAGAAATCTAAAGATGCCTTGTGTATCTTTACAGATAATCTATTCGTATCTGCATGACTCTGCTCCCACTGTTACCCTGCAGACACTTGACCTCAGTCTTCCTGACCATTTGCCTTCGCTGCATGACTCACCATCTGAGGATTTTTACACAAGGAATGAAAATAAACTGCCGTTGTTTTCAGACATCAGATTACTGAAAACCTCCACATCTAGTCTGAATCAGGCTTTTGTCTCTCCCAGTAAAAGCTGTTATTACAGCCAAACAAAGCCTAAACACATGAGAGCAAGGCAGTCTTAAATGTGAAGTTAAAGCCAACTGATTTCAAAGTTTGAGTCTGAAAACATAAATGTCATGATAGAAGATAAGGAGGTGTGGTGCCTGGCCAGAGAAAGCACTGGGTGATAACAAAGGAATTTAAGCAGCACTGAAGAACATAAAGAGCACACCACAAGTAGCCTATATACCCACCACTGTGCAGAGTTTAACAGCTTTCAGAAATGAGTAGTTGATAGATCCTTAAAAACAAGGGTAAATAATAATAGACAATAACTTCTGAGGCCGCTTTTAGTCCATTTAAGTCTATTCGAAGATAAGACGTTTGTTTGTTTATTAGCTAAATACTCACTAGCCATACTAGCTAACTAATTGACACTAGAAGCTAGTGCTAACTCATTTATCAGAACCATGTGGTGTTACTAACAAATAAAGAAGTACCAAACATTAAGCTTACAGTATAATGGTAAATGTTATAGCTACAGTATTATTTCAAAATAGAAGCACAAGTAGGAAAGAAGCCTACTGAAATGTGCTAACGTCAACTAAGCTAACATTAGCTAGCATAAGCTAGTTGTCATAAGATAAATAGTTTACATGAGGCTGTTTTATTGTAGTATAGTATTTTAGTATAAAGTATAGCATAGCAACATAAATTGAGCAAGAGGACGATTATTATGTTTTTGATTAAACTTGTCATTTGACACAGTAATATTTAGTTAGGTGTTCATTTTTATATTTCAGACGACTAAAGCATAACTGAAATGTGAAACAATTATTCCTTTATTTACATTTACTTACATCCGTGACTCTTCTTCGTGTATCTCTTGTCCTTCATCCTGAATGTTGGTTTCACACCGCTGAATTTTTAATGAATTATCTTTCCTTTTGTTTACCTCTGGAAACTTGTGGTTTGCCATGTTGGTCAACAGACTGAACTAACATGGTCACTAAAAATTCTCCACTGTCTTTATCATTAAAAGTATGTCTTATTTGTCCCTGTTTTAAGCAGACTTGTTTTGTTTTTAATAGAACACAGCTTTTTGGTAAAACAATAATACAATAACAGCTAAGTTGCTATTGTTGACACTACATGACATTTGATACCAAATGACGGGTTTTTTCGGTGGATTTAAAGCATTATTTTAAGACCAAAACCTCGTCTTTAAAGTATCATGAAGGTGCCAAATGCTGCCAATTATCCAAAACATGCCCCAAAACTGCCAAAGTGAGTAACAAGATATACGTCATCAGTATAATTTATGTATTATTAGGTAAACTTTTATTTACTGTTGAGTACATTTCAAGCATACATGTGATTTTTTCCGGAGCATCACAACTTGTGTAACAGGGACATTAGAGAGCAGTCATTCTTTTTAAAGATGTGCTTGTTGTCTGTCTTGTTTTAAAACGTGTATCACAATGGATCCCTTGTCTTTAACTGTAAACCAAATCTTCCTTTGCGTACAAATGAATAACCTAAACCTCAACCGGTTCTCACTTAATATCCACCAAATGGTTTTAGTCTTAATTGGAATCAATGGACCAACAAAATGATGGATTATATGATATTTAAGAGTTTTCTTATGGTTCTCAAATTACATTTTTAATAATCTGTGGAAAAAACACGTTTTTATAATATGGAAAATATTGGTGGCATTAAAAATATGAACACAGAGAAGAGGATTTATTTTCTTGTGTCACTTTCTGCATGATTAAGACCCAATGTTTTTTTCATATCTATGTTGTCTTTTAAGTCCCAATTGAAACCTACAGCATCATGATTCCAGTAGTGTTCCCATCATCTGCATAACACCTCCAACCTCAGTTTGCTCCGGTGCTTTAATCTGCTTCAACCAGCTCTACTCAACACATCCCTCTGTAAAAGTCTCACCACGAGTTTGAATTCAGATCAGACATTTGGGAAATGGCATGCTCATAATCGTGTTCTCCTTCGAAACTATTCCAGTAAACACGTAAACAGCATCCTGTTTGATCAGCTAAACTGTAGCTGTGTGCAAGTTTTTGTGTGTGTGTGTGTGTGTGTGTGTGTGTGTGTGTGTGTGTGTGTGTGTGTGTGGTAAATGAGACTGTGTACACATACAGCCCAGCAGTACTGTGCTTTTCAAAAGAGGTGCTGTCAGATGGCCAACAGGGAAACAGACTAGGTAACGTCAGCAGACAAGTCTTTCACTATAGGACATGAGAAAAGAGCGGGTGTGCATGCATATATTGCACTATAGAACATATACAGTAAGGGAGATGATTGGAGTCGCATAACATCTGCTGTGCTGCAGTGTATTTCCTCTCTGTTTATTCAGCAATGAGAAGCCAAAAAATATATATTTTTAGTTCCTCTAATGCATGACATTACACCCTGAAAAATCAGACTTAGCATTTATCTCAGCCACAAGTGTTACAAATAAGAAAGGAACAAAGAATAGCTGATAGGTGGATGGTTATTGATTATTGATGGAAATCTAAACAATTCCTTTTTAATTAAGATGAGATTTTTGACTGTCAAACAGAAACAAGAAAGAGAAGTAAGCAGCTTTTATCTCCTAACCTGTTCCTGAATACTTTCCCTTTTTTCCACTTTACATTTCCTTCATCCTGTCAGTTCTTCTGTGCACAGCTGCAGTGAATGACAAGCTCGCATTTGCACTTTGAAAAAACATCAAATATTAAAGGTATGTTTACGATAAAAGGGAAAGGCAATTCTTTCCTCCCTCACAACCACATTATTAATTCATACTGTTAAAACGACTTTCCACGAATTAATGGAGACAATGCATGGCCTCACGATTGCTTTTGGAAATAAAAGGGGGCCGTCGGGCTGTCAAGTGATGCATTATGGCGGCTCTGAGTGGGTCTTATCTATAGAAAGCATGCTGTTAGCTTTAAAAGTACCTCAGCTCCATAAGTCTTACACAGACACCACAGTGGAACCTCAGTGGCAGTTAGACGCTAATCATGTTTCACTTGTGGCCTACCACAGAATCACAGCTTAAAACACAAAGTAAACTGCATTTAATAGAGTCTGCAAGGTGCCATCATGCCTCCAGCCACACATTCTAAATCAGTGTTTTGATTGAGTGTCTCTTTCTCAGTGAAATTAGGGATATCTCAGACTTTACCCTCTGTTTAAAGCTGCTAAAAGTCACTTCTAAATCCAAATAAGCTGCCAAGTTTGACTGTGACTCATCTTCAAAATCTGCAGTGAATCAAACAAAAACTTTCACTAACACAGCAACAATAACTTCATCTGTGCAGAGTGCTTAGTAAAAAAAAACAAGAACTCACAGATTGAATCTCAAAATGTGGAAACATGACATAGCTCTAACAATGTCATGGCAAGTTAAAAGTGAATACACAATATAAACACTACATTCATTTACTGGATATACAGTCAGCAGCTAAACAATCGATTCAAAGACAATTGATTCGTTATTAGGGAGGTTATCCAAACTCAGAAACCACACAAAAAAACTGCAGAAATTAATATATAATGTTATTAAGATATAAATAACACAGTCTAACGGCAAGTTGATGCCTTGTTTGACCCACATAGGAAACCTGATAGTGAGGAATAGTTTCTGTTCTTATTCTTATTATAGCAAAGTGGTTTGTGATTTGATTATTTCTGCATTTCAAACTTTGGTTAGAGAAAAAGATGCACTTAATATGTCTGTATTTTTAATATCCTACATTTCTAGAACACACAAACTGAGACATGGACGCTGTGCAGAGAGCATGGAGGTTGTTTCTGCAGTGACTGGACACTGTGTTGTCGGCTGTGTTTCCTTTACCAAATCCAATCAAATATGACAGCCAGGTAGAGAGTGTTGCTGGTACACCTCTCTTTGTAATGTTCTTAATTGTAAGATCATGTGTGATATCTATTGCTTTTGTTTTGTCACAGCTTTAAAGCACACAGCATTGAAGATTAATTAACTGTGACCTCCAGCATCATGAGGTCAATCACACATCATTATAAAAGCCTATTCAATGTTCACACAATCATTCATTTGATTTCTGCTGTAAAGTTTTTACATGCTCATATACTTCAGGTGTGTACCATTGTAGCTCAGAATTAGAATTAATGTGACAGATTATTTCAAAAAGTGTCATAACATTAAAAAATAAGCTACATCCTTCCTTAAATGTTAATGAATTACTCTAAAAGGATAAGATCCGATAAAGTATACGAGGTATTCATTAACCTGGCACATTAAGAGCATTATTGGCCAATTTAGAATGCGTAAAAAGTGTGAATGGGAAAACACTCACCAGCAACAAGACACAGAGGCAGCAGCAGCCTGAAGACCAGCCCGCACACCATCTCAGAAGCCATGGTTCCGTGTTGAATCCAGGTAAAAGTAGCCGGGAAATGTCTCTTTTTTTAAGGTTTCTCTTTCATCCCAAACTGCTGCGCTCTGTCAAACCCCAGCTGACATCAAACTGGCGCTCCTGCACACATCACTTTCCCCCGGTGACACCTGGACTCCGCTGGTTATTCCACAGTGAGAGATTGCGCATTTACAGAGGTTCCCCACAGCAGGCATGTCACCATGCATGATATCGTTTTTAGTTTCTCAGACGTGTTGCAAAGTCATTTTGCACAAAACTGAGTAGCGGGCTCAGGTGCGCAAACAGAGAAATACCGGAGAAAAGGAACCAAGAAGTCCTGAAATCCAATTAACCAGATTTTTGTATACCTTAAAACCACATTAAAGAGAAAGTTAACAATATATTAAAAAGTCTGGTAACTCTTCGTCTGTGAAGCGTGACAGAAACACGAAATATAACCGGATAATGCACCCTTTCCTTTTCTGCCCCCTTGGTGAAATTTGACTTTCTGACTTCTGGTGTGGATTGTGTTCACCAACAGGAGGCTACAGGACGAGTTTGTGATTGGCAGCTGCTTCAGCCAATCAGAAGGCTGCTTCTAGTAACCGGTCCAGCCCACTAGGATAATTGGAAGCAAGAGGTGGGACGGGGAGATGGTTAGAAATACCACAAGTATTAAAAGATAACGTGTCCAAAATCCACAGCTTCTTTTATTTCACTAAAACTATTTCCCAATAGTTTAGTATTTAATCTGCATACTTAGGTATATATAAACATTGTACAAGCACGATAACCTCCAAGAAGGTTTTATAAATGTTACTGGCCTATAAGTGATTATTGTATCCCCTCAGGTCTGTCCAGCTGTTCATTAATAAGAAACAGCGACACCTACTGGATCTGATCAAAGCAGCACACTCACTTCAATGTAATCCTTGTTACCACAACACAAGGCCTGTCAGATTTGTCCTTGAAGGAAGGAAAAGAAAATAGTTTTAACAAAGACGTTTTCAGTTCAGAGCATTGTAGCAAAAACATCTTCTCTGATTACATGTAATCTAATAATATGCTGAGTAAACAGACATCTTGTGACTCAAACTTCAACTCCAGAACACTCGGATATATTTCCACAATGTCCAAAATGTTGGGGACATTTAAGGGGATTTGCATCATTGTGGTCGTTGTGTTTTGGATAACGTGCACAAGTTTAATCCCTCTGACCGCTGCTGAAGTTTCCTTGAGCAATAACCTTTCTCTCTGTAAAAAACAACCAACAAAAAGCCTTTATGTTTTTATTTACACTGTTTTCATTCTTTTTTATTTGGTTTTTCAGGTCATTTAAAGAAAATAATGAGAATTATATGCAAAAATGCACATATTTAGTGAGAAAATTATGAAAAATTTTTGTCATGAAGTACATTTTTATGAATCTCTTCATTGGAATAATATTACAGATGTTTTTAGTAACTACATAACAGTTTTGATGTTTGATGACAATGTTTTACTGCTTCCTTTGGAACATAAATTACAATCAAAATGTAAAAACTGTCTGATTTGGATTGCTGTAAATAATAAAAAAATGAGCATTGAAAACAACATATTGTAACAAGGGAATACATATGTATAAGTTAAATTACTGTAACTAGTTTTTACATTATTTTCAAGATATCAAATCACGTGAAACTCCACTAATGTTTATTTATCACAGCTGTTTACATTCAAGCACAAACCAAGGAGCTAACCTTGTGTAACTCCTTCTCTACTATAGAGGAGGAGCCAAGTTTAAAGTATTTACATATGATAAAAACAAATCGATGGTGTATGCGTATGTTTAATGACTTTATTGACAAGGAAATTATTTATGCTGTTTCCTCTCTGTCTTCTGGAGTGCATTAGGCAGGAGGAAAACATTGTATATGATAGGAGACGTCAGGACTGAGCCAAACGACCCTCTGTGTGGAAAACACTTAAAGCTGCAGAGGTCCTGCTTCGGGTTGAGATGAATCACCGTTTGGCGTGGTCACCAAAATGGATTTAGTTTATTAAAAAAATTAAATAAACAGCTGAATTCTTTTGAGGGAAAAGCTTACTTTAAGAGATCATCAACATGCTCGCTTTCTGCCCTGCAGCTTCACTTTCCCCTGGAAATACAGAGGCTCTGCCGTCCATGAGGCCCTGAACTGCAGCCAGCCATGATCAATAACCAACCTCAAAACATGGCAGCGCTTGATTTGTTTCTGCTGTTTGAAGTCGGGCCCTGGTGATCTAATCCCTCAGATGGATGGGAATCTTAAGTAACATTTGCCTTTGATCCATTATTCATCCAATTCCTGAGAGGTCGCCATTGACAAATCGGCAAAATGTACAAACGAGTTTCACAGAGAACACAGGGAAGGTTCAGGTCAGATGTTCCCGACTAACCTGCCTCACACTGTATCAGCAACAGGAATGATTTGTGTTGTACAGCAGTAACAGACCCCTGTTCTTTACTGCATGTCATTTTTTATACCTTTGGTCTTAATTATCTTATTCTGTTGCTGCTGAAACACCTCAATATCTCATAGGGAATAATAGAGGTATCAATCAATCAATCAATCAATCAATCAATCAATCAATCAATGTTTATTTATATAGCCCAATATCACAAATGTTACATTTGTCTCAGTGGACTTCACAGTTTGTACAGAATATCAGTATGACAATATTACACCATCTGTCCTTAGACCCTCACATCGTAAAAGGAAACACTTCCAGAGAAAAACCCACAGAGGGAAAATGGGAGAAACCTGCAACAGAGGAGGGATCCCTCTCCCAGGACGGACAGACGTGCAATAGATGCCGTTATCTTATCTTATCTTAACTTAACGTACCTTAAAGTATTGCCTACATTGTAGTGCTCGCATTTGCTTTTTAAATGTATTTACCTGGTTATGGAACGTACCATTTTGAGTGTAAAATTAATTTTGCTTCCTTTTGAGATTTATCTCCTTTTGTGTATATTTCTTTGTGATGCTGCCTTTCTTGGCCAGGTGTCCCTTTGAAAAGAGATTCTCAATCTCAGTCAGAGTCTCACAGAGAAACATTTGCTCAATGTAATGTTCACAGTCACAACGGTTTCATTTGTAGATGCCTTAATACTTTTGACCATATCGTGTGCATCCTTGGGTAATATTTACAGCAGAAATGATGTATACTTCATGAAATTAGAGTCATTATTTGCTTAAATATTGCAAGGAATAATCTTTTAGATTTAAGGAAACAGTTAACAAAGCATTTCAAAAGTCAGTCTATGTATTCACAACATCACACAATCCTCAGCAGCAGATTGAGATCCTTTCTGTCTAGTCTATCACAGAAACCCTGCCAACATAAAATATTCATTACTTTTGTGAAAATCTTTCTAAACGCTGAGTTTATAGTAAATTCACTGGAGATCCAACACTGCCAGTCTGCAGCATCTTCTGCCAAGAAGAAAACAGAAGTGCAAATGAGATTATCGTGCAGATTGCTTCAATATTGATCCGTGAGTGAAATCCAAACTGTGTGTTTGTTCAATATTTACATGGATGCACTTTCCATGCACTCTAAAGGTGCCTCTGCTTTAAGTGGGCTTTTTAGTGTCCTCTGTGGTAGCTGCGGCTGCAGATCGCCTCTTCTGGAATTTAGACAGACATTTAGTGTATATCGCTGAATGGAAACTCCCAGATTTCAATTTAGAAGAGATGTGATTAAACCTCCTGTTCAGTAGTTTTTGCAGATGAGATCATGTCAACTATGCTAAACATACATAATGGGATCAGGGTGTAAAACAGGCAGGTTTAATACTTTTTTTTTAACCTGACAGTTTGACTTTATTTTCTCCTGCCATCCTTTTATGCTAAATGATTACATTAGCATGCTTAACTTATAATTGCAATGCCAACATGCTGATGTTTTGCGTGCTTTTGAAAATTAACACTAAAAGTACATCTAGGCTGACAGTAAGGCTGAGGGCAATGAGTTAACGAGGCAACTCCATTTATTTTTGAGGTATTGTCTTTAAAAAGTACTCAGGAAATGTAAATCTCGGCCTCATGGTAACGTTCAATAAAAAGTCAGGGGATCTCAAAAGAGAAACAATCAATGCTGAGGGAGACATGAATGAGTGCGCACAATTTGACCAAAAAACATCGATAGTGTACTGACATTTCACTCAAATCTAAAAGTTAAACTCATGTCAAAATCACAAGGATTCATCTTCAGGGAACCGTTATTGTATCAACAAATCAATTGACAATCAATGAAGTAGTTGTTGTGATTTCAGTCTGGACTACATTAGTGAAATGACCACCATTGGCAACCCATGTCATGATGCTTGCACGGCTAAAAAGGAATAAACTAAGATGTGTCCTTGATAAAGGGATCAATAAACAGGTTTGAATTGGTCCTGAGGGGCGCATACATGTATTTGATAAATGTCATTGTAATCCTTGCCATTGTAGTTGAGACATTCCTCTCAAAATCACACTTTAAGCCAATTGTGGCACGTGAGGAAGAATCAGGGAATCACCAATGTCACCAGGATTCACCATCTGCGGATATTCCATAGAGCCAGGTTTTTAAATATTTTTCTGTGATGTGCTGGTGACGCTAAAAGTCAGGGGATCGACAAAGTCAGTGGGATTCATCCTATGGGAACCATGAATACCATCAAATAACTATTTACCCAGTAGTTGTTGAGATATTTCAGTCTAGAATGAAAGCCTGTGGCGTCTGTAAATCAAGGCTGCTTACTGAAGAAACTCGAGCTTCAGCTATCACTATTAATTCGTAATACAAAATAGCTTAGACCTGGTTTCTTACGGCAGCACAATCATTTGAGTTCTGTTCATTTGTCCTGCATCTCTTAAAGATACAGCCTTTTATTATGCATCTGTAATTGATGCTCTTTGTGAGAATGGTTTAAAGAAGTATAATGGCATGCATTATCCAAAGGTCTGTTAGTGGTGTCATCGCCTCGGCATTAGCTACTCATGTTAATGCACACATCCAGGATGTAGGCCTCGTCAGAAAGAGCTGATATGTTGACAGATGCTCTTGTATTACCTCTGGGATGTTTGTACCATCACATTACAGCCTGAAAGAGTTACAGCACTCAGATTTAAAGAGCAGCCTTATGTTGTGAGGCCATTTATTATTGAGGACTGTTTGTGCGTCTGAAGAAGTGCCAAAGTGGGGAAAAGTTTGGCTTTCAACACAGCGGCGATGATCTCAGAGGTCAAAGGTCTTCATTCCTCTGGTCCTGCAGCAGACAACAGTCTCTGTGTGTCGCAACACAATGGCCGTCTCAAGAGTCGGCGGTGTCTGCTCTCAGAGAAAATGACTTAAAGATGAGGACGTTTCAGTGTTTTTGTGATTAAGATTACGTTTATTACCCAAAATAATTATATTCCTAAAGTATTAACTTTAAATATTCTCAATTGCATGTTATAATATGTTTTCAAGTTCAATGTAAAGGGTTACATTTGATCTGATGTTTATCTATCATGTTGAATCAATGTGAATAAATGAAGATGACCTGTTATGTCTTGGGGTTTTCCGTTTCCTGTAGTCTGTTATAAAGGTTTCGGTGCATGTAAATGGTCTGCAAAGGCTAAAATCAAATTTGTTTCTCTCCCACACACTCCCCCCTGCCTGAAACGCCTCTATTGGACTCCTTTGTTTATTTCCATAACATAGTAACATCACTATGTCACACTTGCGCCTCTATTGGCTAGCGTTCCAACACATTGTACGTGATAGGCTAAGGGGCGGGACATCTCTAAGTGGTTGACCAATCACAACAGAGCCGGCCAGCTAACCAATCAGAGCAGACTGGGCTCTGGTTTCAGACAGAGGGTGAAAAGAGGTGCTGCAGCACAGGCAGCATGAGAAAAATACAGAGCTTTTTAAACATTAAAGCATGGAGACATGTCACAGTAGAGGCACTTAATGCAAATATGAACCTGAAGATGATTATAATAGGGTTAGTATTTAAATAACTTGAAAATGGCGTTTCCTTGTACTCATGCACATGTGCATACCTTGCGTTCTGAATCTAGTTGTCACGATCTGTCTGTGTTGTGTTTTGTTTTGTCTTGATCTGTCTTTGGTTTTCTGTCTGCGTTGTGTCTTGTCTAGATCTATCTTTGGTTTTCTTTCCTGCGGTTTTTTTGTCTTGTTTAGATCTGTCTGTTGTTCCCTGTCGTTAGTTTTCCCTCCTACCTAATTTACCCGATTGTGTTCACCTGGTGTCCCTGTGTTTTCTCCTCCCTCCTCAGCTGTGTCTTGTTTGTATGATTAGTCTTGTGTGTATTTAAGTTCTGTTTTTTCTGTCTGTCTTTGTCAGTTCATCTTGTGTTATGACTTGGTCTGCGTGAGTGTTCTGTTCAGTCTTTGTTCATAGTTTGGCCTTGAAATAAAGGAGTTATTTGTGTCACTTTAATCTGCATTTGGGTCCTGCTTCCTTCACACACTGTAACACTAGTGAAATCAAGTTTACTCGATTTGTTTAGTTACAGTTTAGACTAAGCATGTTTACATTAAAAATAAACCTTCCATTTCATGTATTTTAGTTACAAAAATATTATTTCATGTCGATGAGGACCAAGAAAGTTTTCTTTGTATTCATCCAGTCAGAGGTTGAGGTCGACTTGTCAGCCCAGAATTATAGCTATTTACTTGGGGTTTTTTCATTTTTCGTATAGCAGAAGGTTTGTTTGCGAATGGTTTCATGAGCTTTGAGTGGAGACTAATAAATGATTTGAGGTGAGCGACTCCTTCTGGGAAAACACAACCTCCCCATCCTCACTGTCACATACATCATCATTTCCAGATGTTCAGAGTCATGGTTCAATGTTTGCTCTGTGATGAAGTGCTGTTTATATTTTTCCTGGTACCTACTTTTCTTCTGCAACTTGTACTGCTGTTGAAAGAGGCTGCGTGATTTCATAAATGTCAAAATAACCTAAAACATCTCTATATTTAAAAACAAATCAATGGCAGACTAAGAGCCAGTTAAATCGTTTGGGATCCTGCTTTGAATGTGTCAAAAGTTAATGTACTCACTTCCCTGAAATAGTGCATACTATACTACAGAGATATTATCATTATGGTTGTTTGCATATTACTTTTTTAGAGCCCATCATCCACTTTTGACACCGACATTAACGCATGAACATACTTTCCTCTTACTACTCAGCAGATTTGATATGAACTGCTAAGCATCATCCCAACCTGAAGATGGATGTCACAACAAGAATAACTGGTGAGTGATTTATCTCTACTCCTGCTGGGGGTTCATTAGGTAGCTAATGCACATCTAATCTGATTCTAGTGTAATCATTAAAAGCACAAACAATAGTGCTTCCAAGTCACAAAAACAAACCTTGATTGAAGTTGAGCCTCATCCTGTGATTTCATAACCTTGTTAGGAGCTGCATATGAAAACCAAACCAATCATCAGTCCCTGCATTAGTCCTAATGTGATTGTAACTGAGTATGTTATTTAAAGTTTCCTGCTGACGCTGCTAAACCTGCACTGCTGTAACACCTGATTTTATTGACACATATAGACATTGATCACTGTGGTGAAAAGCAAAATAGAGATGTGTTGTATGAGACAGAAGTATAGAACACATTAGTAATGAACTACTTTTAAAAATACAAATATAAAAATGTACATAATAATTAAGCTATGGATTATTATTTAGTTGATTGTCTCGTTTGATTGTTTAAAATGTTGGTGAGCAACAAAGTAGACTTTTATATATGTATGTGTGTGTATGCATCTAAACAATATTTCATAAAATAATCGACAAAACAAACATCCCAAAAACTATTTTCATTTCATTTGGTCTAATAAAGGACTACTTTGTTGTTTTAGTTTTATTAAAATAACATTTAAATGTACAAATACTTCAGCCATGTACTTACCCAACTCATAAGCGATCATTCAAACCACAAATTACAAAAGGTAGGCCTATGAATGCTTGTTCAAATATTTCATTGTAACATTTGCCATTTTAATCCCTTGGGTTAGTATTAAAAAGGTAAATTAGGTGTAACTGTTGTTGTTTTACATTTATTTATGAAAAAATGACCATATAGGCTATAATCAACAGCTTTAATATCAATGTAATAATAACCTACATGTATCGTGTTTACGATCAATTCAACTGCCTGTGGGACGCTGTTGTCATGATAACATGAACCGGCAGGGGGCGCTGGCTGCGCGTGTGCGTCACATGACAGAGGAAATCCAACATGGCGTCTTCAATAACAAACATACCGCTGCTGCTTTGTTTATCTTCGTTTTCCATGCAAATCATCTCCTCAAGACTAATATCTGAACCGTGTTACAAACCCATCAGAGATGAGACTCCAGACTCTGTAAAGTAAGTGGAGAAATTATGTTCGTGTTGCTCTGACAGGGCACAGTTTAGGTATTTTGATTTGTTGTTGTGAGTAAACAAACGGAAATCTTCGTACGTTTTCTACAAAAAAGGCTATGTTTGTGTTACATTTATTATACAAAGTGGTACAATTTAACTTAAACATCCACTCTCATTCAGGTACTGTTTTAAGTAACGTTACAGTTTTGAAAGGTAGGCTTAATCCAAAATAAAACATCGACAACACGTTAATCCACTAATACATAACGGTATGCTACCCAGCACCATATACTGTTGTTAATATGAGCTCCACATTTAACTAGCTGCACAATCCGTGATGCTCGCATATCAATCTCGTAATTTAGTGGTATTTTATCATTCTAAAATGGGCCACCATGCATGATGTTTGTTTGTTTGAAGCCTTTATTTAACCAGGTGAAAATCCCATTGAGATCAACGATCTCTTTTTCAAGGGAGACGTGCAGCACATTGGTTACACTTAATGAATTATTTTGGTAATTACAATGTTCTTTACATTTTAAACTGAATATCTTTACACTGTAGGATTACTACTTTTACTTAAGTGAACTATCTGACAACTTCTACTGCTCTGCTATATTGTCTTGTTTATGCATTTTTGCAATATTATTTTGTATGTCTCCCTTGATAATCACCATTGTAATGGTTATATGGTTAACCTGACCAAGTTTAGGTTTTACATATATAAATTATTTACAGCAAAATGTGAAATGATATCAACATTTTACACAAATATGACATGTGAAGATATTACATGCTTGTAGCCTACTATATCCTCATAAATCATAACATGGTATTGATCTTGGAAATATCCCTTCAAATGAACAATCAACCGGCCTACATATTGAAAAGCTATCATAGGGGTTTGAATAGAGATATATTGATTGTTGCCCATTCCTTCATGGCTTGCAGAGTAATTATTATTATAATGGAGAGCATTGGAAGAGCATTGCCTGATTAACTGTCACTGTACCAAATTGGAGACAACAATTTGTCAATGAAAGCATGCCAATTTCTGTAGAAACTTTATTACTTTATTTTGGGATTTTATGACAGTGATTATTACAACTTGATTACAACTTGAACTTGAATATGGTAAATTCATCTAAATGTACAAAAATAACTGTGACTTTTTCTGATATATTGTGTATCCACTATTTTGTATGACTTACCCTTTTTACATGTTTAAGGACAAAGGCCCGGCCACATGAGTATGTGAAAGTGTCTGACCTTCCTCCGTCCTGGGACTGGAGGAACATCGAGGGGAAGAACTATGTGAGCACCACCCGAAACCAGCACATCCCCCAGTACTGCGGCTCCTGCTGGGCCATGGGGGCCACCAGCGCACTGGCCGGTAACCATGGGGGTGGATAGAAGTTGGGATTAATGTAAAATATATTTTAGACAGACAGACAGACATACATTCATATATTTAGTACGATTATTTTCCACAATATATCATATAGATATCACTTTGAGCCACGATTTTAAAAGGGTCATTGTCTAGTCTCTAAGGCTTACTTGAATTTCTCAAAAAACTGGGTGATGTGCTTTTAAATTTAAAGCTCTAGCCTACAAAACAACCTGTCCAGTTCACTTGGATCCTTTCTAAATCTCGAAAGCATCTTATCTTAAGAGACGGAAATAGTGTACTGTATACCTAATACAGGGGCATGTTAATGTATGCAAATAACTTTGTATTTCCATTTGTAGAGTGTAAGTAGGTTAGACCTAGAAGAGCTTTTGCGTGTGCAAATGTGTTGTTTTGTTTCATGTACTGAATTTCCCCCTTTGGAAACAAGATGGTTGATCTCAATGAATACCTGTCATCCGTAGTTGTGCTATAGTCAGCAACATGCAGTCTGACAAGATAAAACTGTATTTTCTTCAAAATTGTTTTCCCATTTCAACATTTGTATTGTTTTTGTTTTGTCCAAGACCGCATCAACATCAAGCGAGGAGGGGTGTGGCCGTCGGCCTACCTGTCGGTGCAGAACGTGATCGACTGCGGTCAGGCGGGCTCCTGTCACGGAGGAGATCACCTGAGAGTCTACGCCTACGCACACAGGAATGGCATCCCTGATGAAACCTGCAACAACTACCAAGCCAAAGACCAAAGTATCAAAATAAATAATTTCTATCTTTTAATGGATTCACCCTGCATACTGTTTCCACTATTTGGCCAAAAGTATGTCGACAAACTGGTGCAGGGCTATCCTTTTTTATTTGTTTGTGCTTGACCTCTTAGTTTCAACGAGGGAAATCTTAATTTGAAAGCTTTATAATTATTGGTGTAATGGTTTGGAGCCATTTTTTGTGTTTAGTCTAAAAAGTGTAGAGAAGTGTTATCATATTGTAAACTGATATCATTAGGTTGATTGTAGTGTTTTAAAATGTATTTTTATTTATCATTTTTAGGAACAGATGATGGCAGGTTTGTCATTTTGTAAAACAAATATATTATTTGGTCAATTTAAACAATATCATAGTTCTCCAGTTGTTCCTTAAAGCCCCTGTCACACTGTCCCGAAATTGACACCCGATGGACACACGAATATGGAATTGTGAATTTCGCACGAAGATGGCCCCGAACCACACACGAAGGCAACATTTACATTACATTTAAGAAATACAACTGCAACGAAAGTAACAAAAACAATTATGTTAAAGTACTATGATACTGTACTGATATGTTCAGACTTTGTTCTTTACTTTATCCGTCTTTATATGTAGAAGATATTAAGTTTTCTCCGTAATGTTGTTTCCATAGCAACAACAACTTCCTGTCAACTCGCCTTCAAAATAATATATTATATCCTTTTCAGTTTCACAGAACACAAATTGGGTTATTTACATAATATGTTTACATGATTTTGTTGTGCAATAAACAACCAGATGGACACACGATAAAGGAAATGTTCAAATTCGGCTCTGATCGTAACAACATCGGGACATTCGTGAGGGCATCTTAAGCCATCGTATGACAGGTATGCACTCTTTCACTTTTTTAAACTATTCTTCTTTTTGTATTTACTATTTACTTGCACTATATTTTTCTGTGTATCTGTGTTATTGTGTGGCACTGTTGGAGGAGCCTGTGACCTACGCCATAACTACACTGTAGCTATGTTTGTATGACAAAATAAAGAACCTTGAACCTTGAAGGAGTGAGAGGGTGAACTCCAGTGGTTAGTATGTGAATTCAAGACAATAGTTCTCCATGTCTCTTGACTTTGTTTCAACGGACATCATACTTTATGTGGGGGGAATATACCCAATAGAAGGAGAGAAATCCATCAGCTTTCATGCTAAATTAGCTCTATGTGTTAGGACTCTTGTAGTTCGGATCTGTGTTGGTTTGCTTCAACTTAATCTTAATGAACATATATTTGCTTAAGGATATCAAATATAAAGTAAACAGAACAAGGTTTTGATATTGAGAACATTAGATGTGTCAGCTTGTAGTCTTCTGGTTGTATCGACCAATCAAATTGAAGCTGGCTTTGATTGCATGAAAGTAAACTGTTTTCATGAAGAACAAAGAGAAATGAAAGTTGCAAGAAGCGATGGACGGGCCTGGCACGAAAGTTGTGGGTACATGGCTGGTATAGCATGTTGGAAAATATATAATGGAGTTATAGCAACTCCCTTTTTAAGGCAAAATGCACTTTTTTCGCCACGCTGAGGTCTTTAGATTGTGACCAAATTGTTGATTGGACAAAAACTGAAGGACCCAAAATGGCCAACGTCCTCTTTGTTTTACGATATATCTCCAAAAGGCTTCTTAGTGCGTCTTCACATGCTACATATACCTACTGTACCAAGTGCCATACTTGTAGGTCCAATCAAAAAGAGGGGCTCAATTTTAGGAACATTTTAGGGGGACTGAGAATGACACCCCTAAGATATCACTTTTTTCACCAGTCCTGCTGAGGGTGCCGAAAAGATCCAGCAAGCTAGGTAGACTCTAAAAAACGCAGTTCATTGCAACAGTAATGATATCTTTAGAGAATTCGATTGGTCCTTCGCTCCGACTGACGGTGCCCTAACAATGCATTGGCAAAATGAACTTCTCTCAATGCTCTTCACTAACTACAACTCATCTGCTTGAGAAACTATCTAACAAACAGATGGATGAAGGGGATCAAAATCATATTCTGCTTGGCAAAGTTCACTGTGCTTTTCTACCCTTTTTGTAAGTTATATTTGAATTGTTATTAAATGACAGGAACGTCATCACCTCATGGGATTCCAAAAACAGTTTTAACTGATTCTTCTTGAAATGTAAGATACTTTGGATAAGATGAATAGAATAAATCAAGAGATGTGCTGTAAAATGGCAAGAAAACTGTTATCTTTAGCCGACAGAGGATGGAGTAAATGATGTAGGAAGTGAAAGAAAAGTAAATAGAGGATATGGGGCGGACTAGGTTGAGTCCTGCTCTATTTAGACGTCTGACTTCAGTTTTAGTTTATTGCTGTTTCTGGCTGTGTGACCTTATCCCAGCAGAACCTCCGGCTCGCTCTGCGTTCCAGAAATCGTAATTTACAGAGTTTGGCGATCACCACTCAGACTCCAGAAAACTCTAGATTGAAACCAATGACTTTTTCTCTGTGAAGGACCACTTTAACTCAGCAGCCATCATTAAATAATTGTTGTAAATGATGTGGTATTGTAACTGAATGCCTACTTTCTATACCAGGGGGGTCAAACTCAAGGCCCGGGGGCCAAATCCGGCCTGTGACTTCATTTTATGTGGCCCCACAAGAGCTTGCAAAGAATATAATATGTTTGTTATACGGTTACATGGTAGCAGGTTGCCCATAAACTACATGTCCCACAATGCATCTCAGATATGCCCTTTTTCTCAGAATTGTTTTTTTTTTTCAAAATGTCACTTTTCTTTCTTTTGACTTTTTTTCAGAATTTGGCTTTTCTTTGTAAATCATTTTGTGACATTCTCAGTGAAGAGACTTGCAATTATTTGCCCTAGACTTCTGCTTTCAGACGTAGTTAATTATGAAGTTATTACCCTATCCGAAAATAATCCAATGCAGAGGCAATAATGTAATATAATACATTATTTTATATATATTAAATATTTAAATATGTATATTTATAAAGTATTAAAGTTACAACCGGCCCTTTGAGTGCAACCATAATGCTGAAGTGGTCCTC